CGTCCTGCGTTTACACTGAGAATTATATTCAGTCAAGTTGGCGTTTTTCTTGTTTCACCCGCAGCGCGCGGGCCGAAGCGAATTTTTGCATGTATTACATGCTGCCAGCGTGCCGCCTAAAGCAACAACTTCGTCTACCCCTACGGTCGAGGGACACGGCCCTGATTGCTGTTCTGTGATTTGCGACTTCGCAGAAAAACTTGCAACTCGCCTGCTCGCAGTTACCTTGATGGTCACCGTGAGAAAAACGACATGCGGTGCCTGTCGCGATTGCGTGCCTTCCTGTGTGTGCGTACATGGGATACATATACGTCTTTATGTGTACGTGTAGCGTCTAGACGATCTGCAGCCCGGATATACGCGCGAAGCGCGAACAGCGCCACCTTCTGACGCGAATCCTTGATGGTACTTAGGCGCTGAACGTACTTCCCGCCCTTGCTATCCGTATGCCGGATAATTTTTCGGAGTACATTGAACTGCTGCATGTCGGCTTTGCTACCAGGTGGCGCCATTTCTAAGCGATGAGCGCGCGTTTCCAGCGTGTGGATGTGATTTTCGGTATAGCACAAAACACGAGTTTGTGTTTGGGAGCAGAGTACACATTGAGCCGCCGCTCAAATGCTAACGATTTTGCTACTGCAGTAAGCCCTAGCTTTTAACACTGATGACTGATCCATGCAACCTGTCCTTATAAGTCGCAGGGCGGCACTGCCGCAGGTGGGATGACATCACATGAATGTCACCAACAGGTGACAGTTCAATCAAACCTATACGCAAAAGAATGAGATCTACATTTCACATTCTTCATGGGAATCACGCGGGACTTATTATCAGATCTGTCAAACGCTGTGACCTTCATTAAATGTTTCAGTAGACGTTAGAACCTATACTGAATACTATGTGAAGGTATATTGAACATAAATCGCTTCGCAGTCTAGATTTTTCACTAATTTATGCTCATTCTGGTAAAAAACCGTTGGTCAGGTAAATTCTTTAATCTGTTCGCTGTCTAGAGTAATTATTACCTAATGCCCTCCTCCACACACAGCACGCACGCACGCACGCACGCACGCACGCACGCACGCACGCACACACGAACACACACACACGCACACACGCACACGCAGCAGAACGCACACACACACACACACACACACACACACACACACACACACACACACACACACACACACACACACAACACACACACAACACACACGCAACAGCACACACACCAGCACGCACGCACACACACACACACACACACACACACACACACACACACACACACAACACCACACACACACACACACACACACTACCACACACCACACACACACACACACACACACACACACACGCACACACACACACACACACTCACACACACACACATACACACACACACACACACACACAACACACACACACACACACACACACACCCACACACACACACACACACATACACACACACACACACACACACACACACACACACACCACACACACCACACACACACACACACACACACACACACACACACGTGATATCATATCTCATTAATAAGCGCAAACCCTACGGACTACTACAATGAGATCTCTCCGGCTTTCTTGCGAAGGCACCGTGTGCCTGTAAGTAAGTAAGTAAGTAAAAACTTTATTTAACGCCTGTAAAACATGTTAGGTACAGACACAATAAATTGGCGCGGACCTATCTTCCACATTGCCGTCTCAAACCTGTATATAGCTAGCATGCGTTGATCCTTACCCCTGCCGCCGGTCAGCAACACGCACCTGTACGAAGTTAGACATCGCTATACGTACCGGTTAGATAGAGTAGAAACGCGAGCATGGTGACACTTGCCAAAGCTACCAATACGCAGCGCTTTGATCCGTCCATAGCAGCAGCTGTGCAGAGGACAACGTTGATATGATTGCACAGCTATATACACCACTTATACTGACTACCCCACCTGCCAGAGCTTCTATTGACGCAACATAGCACGCATGCGCCCGTGCCTGTATAATGTGTAGAAACGAGAGGACGTATGAGTGTTATGAGTGTTATGAGAGTCATTATATGAGTGCACCCGTTTTGTCAGTAAATGGACGGCTCTTGTGTCGCGGCGAGCCCAATGTGAAATTGCCACACTATATGTCATACGCTACTAGTAGAGCGTGACAGTTGACGTTTTTTCAAATGTTTTGTATTTGATACAGCAAGAATATCATAACGCATAAGGCATTGATAACAGTGATTTTATTTGATAAGAAATTTTTATAATTTTTATGATTTGTAATTAGCCCAGTGACTCTGAGCTATTTCATGTCAACCCTCGTCTTTGACAGGCAAACCTCATCAGGTGTGTAAATTGACCAAGACATTTGTGTCTTTATGCGAGGACACGTTTTTCTCATTCTCATCTAATACATGATATAATGATTCTATACATTTTCTTTCGGATTAATTCACTATAATTATTTATAAAATCTTGTCGAGCTTTATATCCATCTACTCCTGAATAGTTTCTCACTACATGTGTACAACTTCAATACATATTATAATATGAATATGTTTTGTTTAGTATCATACACTACTTCTCATACGCGACATGGCGCCGACCAACGGCAATGGAGAAGTGTACTGAATGTTGAGTAGATTGGGCCCCTCTTATTATATAAAGGCCGCAATACGTCGAAGTCCATTATAGCAGCATATTCCCAAGTATGTCTCTTCTTTTTAAATATATAATGCCAACAAATCGGGATATCTGTAAGCTGATAGTAGAGACATCTGACCTATAATCCATCGCACGTTTCAAGGAGGCTTGAAAGATTTTTCGCCTTATAATTAAAGGACTGAGCCATGATTTAAATATATTTCGTTTCCCCCACTTAGCTGTATTATAATAACTATTTTAATATATATAAATATAATTATATCTACACATATTAAAGGCCGTCTGGTAATTAAAAATATTACTGCAGGTCTATAATAATTAGCGCCTATGATTACAATCTGTTTTTAATTTTGCTATTAATTTCAATTATGTTGTGCATGTAATTATACTTATATAAATATAAACAGTATAAATATTTGGAATAAATAATAATTATATTATATTATAATGTTTTATAATTATAGTCAGTAATTTTGTGATAACCGCCTGGTCTGAATCATGAAATCATGTTTTATAATGGTATATAATGGTTTTATAAAGCTCGTGTTTCACAAAGCGGTATGGCGTCTTCCATAGCATGTTCCTACATTTGCAGGTGAAATAAAACGTATATATATAATATATGTATATATATATATTATATATATATATATATATTATATATATATATTACTACTGATTATTTACTCTTGAAATACATATATAATGTTACAATAATAAATATGTTTATTCTATGTTTCCTTTAAGTTTCTCCTCTGTTCTGAACAGGAATGATTGGCATGAGGGGAGCAGTGTCTGTGTGGCTGCTGGCGGTGGCTATCGGTACCATGGCAACCGGTGCGGAGCAGGACGAGCGTGACTCACGGATGAGCGCCATGAGAAGAAAATAGACGCTATCTGGGAGAAGTTGGAGGAATGACGTCACCGCCGGCCTGCAGCTGCGACTGTTCGCAGCAGTCGGTTCAAACAGAACACCTAGCGGGAAAGGTAAGCGCGCTGCTTCCAAAAGCACGCTACTAACCTTACTACTAACCTTAACTAATAATAATCAATTATAATTATAATTATAATAATAAATAATAACAATAGTTAATAGACTACTAACCTTAGTCTTACGTCTACGCACGTAAATCAACTTGGTTCACAACTGCGACTCTGCTGGAGTGGCTAATACTAACTGAATGATATACACAACAGGACGTTCGTCGGAGTCTTAAAATAATCAAGCATTCGGCAAAGAGCAACTAGCAACAAAGAGAAAATTATGTAATGAATGAAATAAGTTTATTGGATTTCGTTGAAAACTACGAATTCATATTTAACTTGGATTTAACACAAGATATAAATATGAATTCATAATTGTGTAATGGTCTCACGGCTGAGAAAACCATGATCTCAAAATAGGCAAGCGTATTTCTGCTGCAATCGACAGCACCAGCTGGCATTAAATAATTGATGTATCGAGTGGCAACGTTAAGTTATTCATGATTTCGTTTCTATAATCATTCCGATATCTACTCATAGGTGGAGACACTCGTCGGGATGTTGAGTGACGTCAACGACACCCTGGCGGCGAGAATGAGCGCGCTCGATCAGACGCTGGACAGTGGTCAGCAGACATCGCATGACGTCACCGCCGAGCTTAAGGCTTCCCTGTCCGAAATTAATGCGTCGACGGCGGCACTACTCTCGGCAGGTGGCGCTGCAAGCGGCGAGCAGACGAACGAGATGCGGAAGTTGCTCGCCGACTCGCAGTCGCACAGCGACAAGTTCCTGTCCAGCCTCGAATCGCTGCTGCGCATGCACCAGGCCGATATCGTTCTCGAGTTGTCCGCCATGAGCACGGCGATCGACGACAACGCGCGCGGGATCAGACGAGATGCGTCACGTGCTCACCGCCGCCGCCACGAACCTCACTGCCGCGGGGCGCGCCCTGGCGGAGAAACCACACCCCTCCTCCTCCTCCTCCTCCTCCTCGTACCACCGTGAGTCTACGGAGAGGTTCACGAGGGAGAACCCGCTGCACGCGGGCTCGCGTAATCGCGTCGACCTCTCGCCCGTTGACTCGGACAGTCTTCTGCTGCAGCTGGTCTCGCAGGTTGATGCACTGCAGCACGGACTGTTCGATGTCAGCAACATGCTAGACAGCCTGACGCTGAGCGACGCAGAGCGTGCGACGCAGCTTCGTGTGATGCTGCGAGCGTGCGTCACCCATCGATGACGCACTGCGTTTGCTGCGTCACCTCAACGTTTCCAATCCCGGCCTACAGGTGGCGCTGACGGGCACCACGCCGCGGCTGGACGCGCTAGCCGCCGAGCTGGGCGAGGTGCGCGCGATGACGTCATTCGTCGGCGACACGCTGCAGGGGCTCGGATTGGAGCTGACGCGTCACGTGTTCGCCTTCGAGGAGCTGGGTCGCGGCATCGCCGAGCACCTAGACGCGGTGCCGCTCTGGCACGGCAAGATGGCGGCGCTAGAGCGCGTCGCTGACGACCTAGCGACGGCCCTTGACAACCACAGCCTGTCGACGCACCGCCAGCTCGCCGCCATCGGCAGCTCTCTCACCGACGGCAGCGTGCAATGCACTACGGCGCAAAACATGACGCAGACGCAGGCGAAGACGCAGACGAAGACGCAGACGCAGGTGAAGACGCAGACGCATGGTGACAACCGGATAGTGAGCGACGCCGACGAGCCGGTGGTTAGCGTCGACGTGCTGCTGCAGCGGTTTAGCGACGCGCTGTACGACACGCAGGTCGACGTCAGGTCCCTGCTGGAGATGGCGCGCAAGGAGACGAGCAAGACAAGAGACAACTCGTCTGCGGGCGGTGTCAGCAGCGGCAGCAGCAGCAGCAGCAGGGAGGACGTGAGCGCGTTGGTGAAGGAACATCAGAAGGCCGTGGCAAAGCAGACGACGCTACTGAAGGAGGTGAAGTCGAACATCTACAATTCGAAGCGAAACATTCTCAAGGGCATCAAGCAAGCGCAGGAGACGCTGACGTCATCAATGACGCCGATAGCGACCTCTTGCGCCGACAACGGAAACGCCAAAAAAGACGTCGGTAAGGGTAACAGCGGGAGGAATGGCAACGACGTCGGCCTGAGCGTCGGCGCAAAGCTGTCGGCAGTCGGCGACAAGGTTGGCGATCTCACCCGGTCGTCCATCCGCTCGATGGCGATCATGCGCGACTCTCTCGCGAGAAACGCGAGATATCTCGAGAGCTTCTCCACGCAGCTGTCGGCCACGTTCGAGTCTGTCGAGAAGCTGCGCAACGAGACGGGAATGATCCACACGGAGATCGTGTACGCAGCCAACGCCATCGATATGGTGAAGACCATCTCTAACGCGACCGAGCGCACCGCCGCCTGGATACGCGACCGTCTACGCGCGGACGCCGACGACGCGAAGGCGCGCGGGGACGCCCCGTGTTGCTGCACGGACCTGAGCGACCTGACGCGGAACCTGTCCATGATGCGCATTCAAGATCAGCGGAAGATCCGGTTCGAAAAGCCCGATGGGAAGCAGCCGACTTCCGGTGGCGTGCGGAAGGATGACAATCAGAATCTGCTGGAGTTTACAACAAATACGAGGACGGATAACTTCCGGCCGGAAGATCCCGACAAGTTACAAGGCACCGGAAGTGCGTATGCTCGATTAGGAGTTTCGCTTCGTTTAATGTTTATTCACATCGTGAAGCTGTAAGATTGAGCTGTTTATACTTTCGACTGTTTTAATTCATCGCGATGTGCGATATGCGTACTGCATCAATCAATGCGCTATGCGTAACGTGTTTGTTGGATTTTAATGGATATGAATGTTGTGACTTTGCTGTATGTCGTAGATCTCGCTCAACCCCAGGTCCCGTCGAGTTTTCTGTGCTAATCACAGAGGAAGACAGAGTAGCGATGGTGGGGAACATGCGCTACTATGACATCATACGCAACGTCGGCAACGCTTAGAATTGCTCTACGGGGCAATTCGTAGCGCCCGAGAAAGGTCTTTACGTATTCAACGTCACGCTGGAGGCTCCGGAGCAGCTGTTCGGGGTGCTGGCTGTAGCGGGAAAACAGTTACTGTTTGTTCACGCTGGAGGGCGCAACGATCACGATTCTGGCGGCAGCGCGCTGGTTGTGTTCATGAAGCAAGGACATCGCGCTGAGATCACAGGCACTTCGACCGTTTCAATAATAAAATGATGGTTAATAAATACAACTTGTCAGTACTACTACTAGTACTAGCCCTACCAGTACCAGTACCAGTAATAGTCTTAATGTTTGATTTGACCTAATAACTTCACTTCAACACCGTCCAATACACCGGCCGCTGCAACACATAGCGCGCACGCCCTTGTGCATGCACAAATACACAGTGATATAGAGTGATACTCTATATCACTGTGTATTTGTGCATGCACAAGGACTAGATACATTAATGTAACCCAAACCCAGGAGGATAGTATGCGCATGTATCTGCGTGCACCCGCGTGTACGTGCGTGTACCTGCGTGTACGTGCGTGTACCCGCGTGTACGTGCGTGTATCTGTGTGTACGTGCGTGTACGTGCGTGTATCTGTGTGTACGTGCGTGTATCCGCGTGTACCCGCGTGTACGTGCGTGTACGTACGTGTATCCGCGTGTACCCGCGTGTACGTGCGTGTACCTGCGTGTACGTGCGTGTACCCGCGTGTACGTGCGTGTACGTGCGTGTATCTCCGTGTACCCGCGTGTACGTGCGTGTACCTGCGTGTACGTGCGTGTACCCGCGTGTACACGCGTGTACCCGCGTGCACGTGCGTGTACCCGCGTGTACGTGCGTGTACCCGCGTGTACGTGCGTGTACCCGCGTGTACGTGCGTGTACGTGCGTGTATCTCCGTGTACCCGCGTGTACGTGCGCGTGCGCGCGTGTACCCGCGTGTACGTGCGTGTACGTGCGTGTATCTCCGTGTACCCGCGTGCACGTGCGTGTACTCGCGTGTACGTG